TATTACTATCAATCTATTTTAAAAACATGTCAAGAACGAGGTGATTTATTGAGTTGTAATCAAGATATGTAGAAAAGTAAGATAATTATACTTTTCCATCATGTTTATAATTTAGGAGTTGCACCAATTTTTATTGCATAAATAAATGTATTTACTCTTTAATATGCCAATTTATATTTCCAATATTTCAAATGGATATTTAAATATAACTTTAAAAAACCTTAAGTACTTTCTTCCTAAAAGTTAAGAGCTCATTTCTTTTTCTTAAGTGTTGTAAGGATATTTTTTCTTTTTCCTTTTGGCGGAATGTGGCAACACAGCTTATTTACTCATTATTAAAATAGTCGTATTGAAGAAAAAGCCGAGTGAATAATGTGAACTTACACAATTAATGGAAGTTAAGGGAAAAAATGGGGAAAATGTACTTTCAAATAATCAAAACAGATGGTCACCAGAGACCCCAAACCTCTTCTGCATTTGAGTTTTTAGAAGAACAAATTTGGGACTGAAACATTCAATTTCTTTTCATGGTTTGAACATTTTCCTGGAAAGTTCAAAGTAACTATATAGGAAGGCACATAGAAATCAAGCTGGAACTTTCTCCAAAATGTATTTTATAAACTAAATCCTCTTTTTTAAAAAAATAAACTCTAGTTCCTTTCACTGCAAGAAAAGGGAGGGGGCTATGGAGCAAAGAGATTGTCTTTTATCAAACCACGAATGTGGATTTTTGGAGGATGAGATTTAATTTTAAAGCATTTCAATAGACAAATTAGTCAAAACATGGTGTGATAAACAAACAGAAAAACCTTCCAGCCTGAGTTTTTGCATTATTAGTAGATTGACTTCAGAAATCAGTGTTAATCTTGCTGGTAAAGCTATTTTACTGACATGCTTCGATTCAAAGTGCTTTGTTTTCATCAGCTTGACTATATTACCTCTAGAAAACATGTTTTAAAAATCCACACAGTTGTAAATTTTTTAAAAAATTTTTACAGATCAACATTTACAGAAACAATAGCTTTATGGTCCGTAGGCATCCAGATACCCTTAAGGAAAATAAACCTATAAGTTTTTTTTTTTCCCGTAGATAACTTATTTCCAGAACAAAGCATCCTTTAAATTAAATGAACTCTACTGAAAATAAGGTCCCCGGGAGCAAACAATCTTTTTCCATTCACCATTTTCTGAAAGTATATTTACGGTAGCCATATCTTTTTCCGTTTAGCATTCCCTTAAGTAGTAAAAACCCCAAGCTTGAGGTAATTGCTGCAGAGGGCTTAACATTCTACACCCAGAGACTTACTGAGCACATCCTGACATTAGGAAAAGGTTTGATTCCTGAAACATTAAAAGAAATGTTTTTCCTATAGAATTCCACTTTCTGATTAATGCAAAGCAAGAGCCTTTTTCTTCTTTTGCAGTTGGTGCTTCACAGATCTTTTATAAAAATACAAACGGCTAGACTAGGTGAAACTCATTAACTGAAGAGGAGGATAAGTGTCTCCACAACCAAGAGGGAGAACTGGAGCAGGGGCTGGGTGGAACAAAGCCCTCTCTAAGTTGAGCAGAGGCCACAGCAAAATCGGGTTTTCAGAAATGCTAACTCTGCAGATGTGAATTTTGCAGTACATTTTGGGGTCTGACATCTTTCTCAGCAGAGGCATGGAAACTAAAATGCAGAATGAAAGTTGCAGGGAGTAAGAGCAGGGATTGCAGGTACTTCTGTGTAATCTTCATTAGGATGTAAATTGAAGTATGTGTGTGCAATTTTGAAGAACACAAGAAGGATGTTTTGTATATGCAAGGGTGAGAGTGTAACCCTCCTATTTAAGGCTTTGCTTAGAACCACAATCTAAAGGTCAGAACAAGTAGTTAATCAACACAGATGTGTTCAAACTCCATTCCGCTAGTAGCTGTTTACTTTCAATTTAAATCAAATCAGAGACACAATCCTGTTCACTGAATGCACACACCTTCCACAGGCTTGCTTTGTTAACCATACTGAACATATGGTTCTAAAAATGAATTTGTGGAACATAATTATATAAAGATGTATAGGTTTGATTTTGAGATATCAATTTGTGCATATAAAAAAGTAATACCTACATTATGTGGTAGCTATTGAAATTCCAGTTCAGATACAATCAAAGCAGATAATATTCTCCTGCCATTTAATGCCACAGTGTTGTGGTGGACCCCTGTATGTTAACTATTTGAAGTTAGTTCTCTTGAAATGCTGTTACTGGGCTATTCACAAGCCCAGTGAGAAAGAGAACTCAGATACATTGATGAAGCATAAGACTCCTTTTTACTGTTAGTGAGAATTGGTGAGTATCTGGGGAAATTCCAGAGATGCCAGATTGGGGAGCCAAGTCCACATGTTACCTAAAGCTCCTCCCTCCAGTGAGTATGGAGATTGCTCTGTGATCGTCAGGTTACTTTTTCTAGGTTTAATGGTGATTAAAGTTTCTTACAGAAGGTTTTTGGGTTTAATTTTGCTTTAGAATGTTTATCTGAAATGGAATGAAATGCTGTTTTAAAAGGGTCTCTGTAACCTCAGTAATTGTTTAGATAACTTCTAATAAAACATTAACCATTAATTCTGTATAAGCTTAAAGAACACAATGTTGCAGTAGTGAATAGCTTTAGTGCCATTTCACACAAAATTAAAGCATATTGTCTTTTTAACCCCAATTCCATAAATAGAATATAGAAAAACAGCCACAAAAGCATCTGTTAGAATTAATGCTGAATGAAGGGAGCATAATTTGTTCTTTGACCTTTTTCCTGGTGAGAAATTAGAGGACTCGGTCAGTCACTAGGAATACAGTTGATGGCACCTTGGTTTTCTGACCCTATCAGAATGGGCATGAAGTCTTGAGAATGAAGACAAGAGTTGTAAAGCCACTCTGTAGCCTTTGATTGGCAATTGACAAATTAACTTGAGGGGATGTCTAGATTTTAGATTTCTAGGCACAGCTAAACTTTGTTACAGTCAAGACTTCAAATTTTAAACAGAAACCTGGCGGGGGTTGGGGACTGTTTCTGATTTTCTTAACAGGTCCTGTGTGTGCACTTGCCTGGAGAATTGAAAGGACGAAACTGCAGATTCAGACTGCGGTGCTTGGTGCTGCATCCAGGGAGTGGAGAGATGCCTGCCAAGGTGGAAGGTCTGAGATTCCCCACACCCTACTCCTACTGCCAGTTTGCCTGCTTCTGGGCAGGCTTTGGGGTTCTTGAGACCATAGGGCATTCAGAACCCTGGGGCCAATGGCAGCAGCTTCCAGACAGCACAGGAGGCTAATCATGCCAGACATGGCATAACCTGTACTATGAGGGGCAGCTAACTCTCCTTGGCCCTGCCAGTTTGCTGCTCCCAGATACTGCCAGCAGCTCAGCCTCAACTGTGAAGTCCTTGTATGTCGTAACCCTTCATATTAGCCAAATCCCTGAGCATCTGACCTCCATCTAGAAGTGGTAGGATTCCCACTTCTGAGAGGATGCCCACTCAGCCGTTATGATGTCCCAGGTCATTGCAAGAAAATTAGCCTACTGGTCATTGTATGTATTTGCCTTTGAAAAGCTAAATGGCAATCTAATACCCACTCACATATGGCTTTGTACTTTTACATCACCTCCTTAGCACTCAGCTAAGGAAGTTGCTTTTCTCCTTACTAGGTTCCCTATGCAGATGTTTCCAGGCAATAACACAATTTAATGAGAGATCCCGAAAAAGGTGCTCTGAAGGTAACATAATGGAATACAAATAACAAAACCAGCCCATTGCCTGCAATACTAAGGCTTGGGGGGGGGGCATTTACAGCTGTAAATATCCCTCTTGAAAGCTTTAAACAGCACTTTCACTGAAATGATATTTTTCTATTCTAACATGGTTACAAGTTAGTAAGAGATTGAGGAGAAGAGAAGGATCCAAGTGTTCAGGAGCTGGACAGATGTTCTCAAGATACACCCATTTCACAAGAGGGAACCTAGTGTCAGCTAACTTCACTAAGGCTTCTGATTAGACTTCTTAAGGACCCGTCAGCCAAAAAAACAGAAATTAAAAACTAAACCAAAACCAAGGAATTGGGGAAATTAAAAAAAAAAAAATTAGCGTGGATTTGGGGAACCCATGAAACTATACACAATAAGACAACATGCTCCTATTGGAATATACAGTGCTTTATTTGGAGGGCTAGACAGCTTTAATATTTGGAAAATGAGAGAAATTAGTAGTAGGATTCATTACTATAATGTGAAGTGAGGGTAACATACAAAGGTTCCTAATAGAGACTCTGTTTCAACAACAAAAGGCTCCTGCTGTTTTCACAGCATCAGCAATGAACTCAACAGCTTCAGAATGCCTTTCTATTCAAAGATAAGGTAGATTTTTTTTCCCACATAAGCAAAGATTAACAGGTGTGCTTTACCTGTATATTAAAGCACAAATGTCCTAAATCAGAAGGTCAAAGAGAAATCTTACCTTACAATCTTAGGCTGGGATGGAAAAACTGAGACAAATCCTCAGGCTTTACAGGAAGGTGTCCCGTCTAAGTTTGTTTTGGTAATGAAATGCAAACGCTATGTGTGGACTCCAGACACACATTTAGGGAATTAGTGTGCTCAACTGAAAGGAAGAGCCCAATTTGAATTCTACTGCAAAATATCATCTAAGATATGCTGAGTATAGATTCTTTAGGTATAAATCAGAATTTTCAATTTTTTTAGCTGGTCCTTAAACTTAAGAGATTTAGAAGTCCTTAAAACCAAAAAACAAAAATCAGATTTGTAAAAATGTAAATATTCATAAAGATGTATTATTACCATGCTAATAGAATAAATGCTTCTGTTGAAGTACTGACCATAGCCTCTTCAAATCTACTGACACTGACTTGCTTTTGACATCTAATTGTTGCAACTGTTTTCTGTAAAAGTTGACTTACAAAAAAAGGCATCCTTAGTCAAGACTTTCAGCTGAAATAAAGAACACAAGACACTAGAGCTTTTAAAGTTTAGCTTTATTTTTATTTTATTTTTTTACTAAAGTCCACAAATTTCTGTAAGACAAGTACTTTAATGAAATGTTTCCAAAGAAATGCTGAGCAACATATGCTCTAGTATGCTGAATGTACAGTTCAAATGTCCATACCTAATTATTCATGTGCATCAAAATCAGCTTAGAGCTGGCTTGAATTTTAACCATAATAAAAACCCAGGACTCCTAATTTCATCAAATGTGTTTACAAGCAATAATAAATTCAGACCCACTGTATTATGCACCACACATCTCTGGAAAGCAACATAAAACAGTGAGATCAGATCAGCAAAAATATACACACAGTTAAAAGAAATACACAAAGTACTGTAGTTTTATTAAAACCTACTACTTGAGAAAGAAATCTCCTTTCCACAAATAGCATAAAAGTATATAATGGTGAAAGGATTTGGGAAAGCTTTACAAAAGCTTAATTCCAACTGTATCTTCCTGAAGGTGGTGGCAAAGGGTATTTCCTTCCTTCTCTGGGATAACCCTGAAAGTAAACAAAGAAGAGTTTACCTTCTGGATTAATATACCGAATAAAGAAATTAACTCTGCATCTCTGTGGAAAAACATGCCATGAAGAGGAGGACTGTTCAAGGTACATCACATGGAAAGTCTTCCTGAGTATGTGCTCTAAGCCTACAGCTCTCACACAGCTTGTTACAAAGTTGAAGATGCACACAAAGGCTGAATTACTGAACACTAACCCAACAAGCATTAATAACCACATCTAAGAGATTCCCTAAAATACAAATGAGCAATGAAATGTTTCTTAAAATACGTAAGGTGGGTATTTTTAAAACATTTTTATTAGTTCTTTGAGAATTTCAAACTATGTATTTTGATCATATTCATCCCTTCCCCTACTCTTCTCAAACCACTCAACTTTGTGTCTTTTTTTAAAACCCATCAAGTATAGTTTGTGCTGCCCATATACTCTTGGCTATGTGGCCTTCTCTAAGAGAGTGGTCAACCCACCAGGATCCACACCCTTAAAACAAATAGCAACAACAAAAACCACCACAACTTTCCCTCCCTCCCAGTGGCTACCAGCTGCCAATTGCTCCTAAGTAAGGGTGGCGCTTTGTGTCCCTCCATGCTGGGACTTTGTCTGGTCTGAGCCTGCATGGGATCTAAAAATTTCCCACCATTCTGAGCCCTTGGGAGGAAAGGCACCTTATTTAACCAACGGAATAGACTTACTGAGGCCTAATGGCTAATTATTTAGGAATACATTTTTTGGTCAATGAAAAACCAAAACATTAAATAATAAAGTTATTACAGAATTACACTTACAAAAACATTTCTATGCATAAATAATTCATAAGGCTGGGGATGTATCTCAGTGGTAAATGCATTTGCTGAGTGAGTTGTACTGGATTTGATTCCAAATGAAAGGAAAAAATTTCTAAACTTAGGACCACAGGGTTCCATTTTGTCACTTAAGCAGTTCACACTATATAGTATGACAGATCCTCAAAGCTGCAAAGTGGGCTAAGGACTTGTTTAAAAGTATCAATGTCACTAAAAATAAATGAAGGCATGAGCATGAATTTCTGGGATAATGAATGGTAACTCTAATAGTTGTGATTTAAGAAAAACTAAGTGGAAATAAGACTGAAAAGAATGTATTTTCTTAAAAAAAAAAAAAAAAAAGTCTTCCAACTTGTTTATGTGTCTTCTCAGTGAAAAATTCCACCTCTCCAAGAACAGTAGACTTCCTCAAAACGGAAAATCTCCTTGGCCTCTTACAGAGGCAAGAAGATGAAATGGGGGTTCAGTGTCTCCAGCTCTGCCTGGAGGTTACAGGCTTTCAGTTCCAGACCTGCAAAATGAAGTGGTTGGACATGGCGTTCTCCAAGGTTTCTTCAGTTCTAAATGTCTTCATTTTAAAAGAATGTTATTTTAATTGCCTAGTGCCATCTAAACCCCAGTAGCACAGAGCAGCAATTTCCTGATGTGACTTTTCAGAGGTATTGAATGGAAAAATTAAAAGTAAAATTCTATGAAATGATTTTAATGAATTATAACAAAATTTCCCAAAAGGTATTAACTATAAGCAATTAAGGTGACTACTTTCTTATAAGGTTGAAACAGACAAGTTTTCCTTAGATGTCAAAGATGTTAAAGGGGAGCACAAAGTAAGGACAAATTAGAAAGTCAATATACAAAGCACTGCAAAAGACCTGGAGGCAACACGGTAAACAATTTAAAACCCCTTCCTATCTCTGCAGGTGCCAAACTCCAGGACAACTACACACTGAGTTGCATCATTCCAATCTCATTCTCTACCAAGAATTATACTTAACGTGCATATAAGTTCTGTCCAGGGTGTCAAATTGCTAGGAGAAATTAGTTAAATAGAACCCAGCTTTAAATGTTGCTAAGATTGGATGGAATTAAAAAACAAAACTTATATCATTTCAATTTATCCATGAATTATAGTGCGTAGAATCAACATGGCACTTTCCATTTAGTAGAAAATTACATGGAAAAGTCTTCAAAGAAAAATCTGCTTCTACAGAAAAGGACTCAATGATGAATGAGATAAGAATTCTAGGATTAATAAAGAGAAATAGTGAACAGCTAGGGTGTTTTGTGTTTTTTTTGTTTTGTTGTTGTTTTTACTTTCAGCTTCCAGTCAGTCTTCATTTGTTAATGATGGGTCTAGTTTACATTAGAGAATGATATTCTCCAAGGTAAAAAGAAATGTTTTGGTGACTGTGACTCATGCTAATCACTATTGACTACTATGACAAAGAGAGCTTCTAGGCTGGGATTCTTGAGGATTGTTGTATAAACTATTTAGGTGAAATACTTCCCTTAGGTATAATTTTAACAAATATAAAGCTGAGTTAAGCTACTCTATTAGTATTTTCTCCAGAAATATTGGTAGAAAACTATTAAGTCCTAAGAAGCAAGCTTAATAGTGAGCAATATGCTGCTTTTCCTCTGCAGCCCACAGTGTATTTATTACCTGTCTCCCTCCGCGATCATCACGTCTGGGTGGATATCCTCCAGGCCCAGCCAGCATCTGGTACTGGTTTGGCTGAAAGGCTGCATTTTGGGTTTGGAGCATCCGGTTCCATGGCAGTAGAGGTTCAGCTCCAACACTTCTGTAGAAAGACATACTTGTATCAGAAGTGAAGCCTGCTTTACAGCACAAGCCTAAAATAGGCAGGTTGTCTCCTCCAAATTTTAGGACAATCCAATTTTACTAGATTTGAAGTTATAGGATATGTAATATAGTGGCCTTTATGTCTCTTATAACCAGTGCAGAGTACTGCATTTCATAAAGCACCACAAATTATTAAAAGGGATGTTTAGAGCTAATGGGATGGCTCAGATGGCCCAAGTGCCTGCCTTACATATCTGATGACCCAAGTTCAATCTCTAGAACCCAAATTGGAACCTCCACATGTGCACTGTGACACACATACCCCACTCATTAGTGTGCACATACACAATATAAATAATTTTTAAAAATGAGGACGCCTAAAGTAAGCTGATTAACTTTTATAAAATTAATTCATACAGTTGTAAATGTGAAGTTTCTTTTTATCATCTGAAGCTCTAGATCCACAATCAGCAAGCTGGGTACATTTACGATTCTGTCCAGAAGAATAAACATGTACTAGTAAGAGAAAGAGGCTTTATTTTCAAAAATGTCCAGACTCGTTCTTAGATTCTATTCTTTCTAGTTAATTGCAGGTTGCAAGTGAATTCTTACTGCTGAGTATTTTGAATCCAGGGTAGGGGACTTGGCTGTTTTTTCCCATCCATTATTCTGCTCAATATGTCAGAAGGTCTGATCGTGAAGAAACCTTTTCAAGTTCTATTGATGCAGCTTTCAATTGACCATGGTGACCTAGCAACATGAGCACTAATTGGCATGGGCTGACTGGCATTTGGTGTACAGTTTACATGGGAACGCAGATTCAACAGCTATTATAGCCCAGTTTGCTGTCCCAGATTACTAGTTGAAAGACATGTTTTAATTGTCTTCAAGTGCCTATTTTAACTTTAGATACACAACAACAGGTAGAAGGCATTAAATCATAACTTAATTAAAACCTGTCACATAAACAATGTAGCAAAGATATTTCTAAAGGCAATAATCATCATTTAAAATAAAACTTTCTTAGTATTCACTCTCAACTTTTATTTTATAGTCAGGAGAAAGAATAAACAGAAGCAAAATGTTCCTGTGTACTTAAACATTAGAAACTTGGGGCCACAGACAATGCTAGGAAGAATTCAGTAAAATTTTACATTCACTAAGGCTCTGAATTTCACTTCGTCGTGGGAGAGAAAATCTTAGGGATAAAAGCCTGAAGTTGGGCTCATTGGGTGATGGACTCATTCTTACAGCTAGCTATTCATCTGAATCCATCCTCTCTACTCTCTTCACTTACAAGCCTTCTTAAAAACAAAACAAAAAAATGCAAAGTAATTATTCTTGTTTAACAGTTCAAAGACAACAGCTCCTGATAACCTAGAAATGCCAAAGCTTCTCTATTAGATAGTGGGTGAAACCATAGCTCTAATACAGCACACTGCATGTGATTCAAAGTCAGAGTGAGGTGCCAGTTATTATCAGTACAAACAAATTCTGGCAAGAACACCCAATATGATTCACAAACACCCTATCTGAATCACAAGAACAGTTCTATGAACACACAAGAATAGTCTCTTTTGGCATCTGCAGAGGGAGATGAGTGATTTGGTAATAGGTTATGACTATGGATCATCAATGTTGTGATGCATGTGCAAAGCCCACAAGTCAAAACTGCAACTCATATTCTGTGCTGTGATTATTTTTCTTTTTAGTCTTATACCATAGGTTGGAAGACGAAGTCACAGTGTAAAACATACACTTTTTCTTTTTGTTCAAAATAGTAATTTTTTCAAAGATAATTTCTATGATAAAAATCATCAGTAATAAAATTTAAAGAGAAAGAACAAGCTAACAGTGGTATGTACTATCACTTCTGTTTGATGGCAGAAACACCTTATTTCCCACGAAGTAATTATTTTTCTGTTAATTATATTAATTTGCAAATATAAGCAAACTGAAACTTATTTGACAAAATGTTTGTAAAATGTGAGATAGGAACCCTGAAGTTGGTCCACCCTAACTTTTAGTTAGAACAGGTGTGGTGCACACTTTTAGTACCAACACTCTGGGGGCAGAAGCAGGCAGATCTCTCTGAATTTGAGGCCAACCAGGATAGGCAAGGCTACATAGTGAGACCCTGTCTCAAAAAAGCAAAATAAATAAAAATAATAGTGGCTATAGCCAAGCAGTGGCAGCACACACCTTTAATCCCAGCACTCAAGAGGCAGAGGCAGGTGGATCTCTGTGAGTTCAAAGCCAGCCTGGTCTACAGAATGAGTTCCAGGACAGCCAGAGCTACTCAACACAGTTAAATTCTATCACAGAAAAAAAAAAGAAAAACAAAAACTAGTTGGTGGTAATAAACTAAGGTTAATTTATAAGCCAAGGCACTTCTTAGTAGGTACCACAGTGGCAACAATATTCTTTTTTCCAAATTACTGCTCTGGAAAGTAGTTGGTAACTGAAGCCTACCAATTTGGGTAGTTTAAGTTTGTACTATGGTTAATCAGTTTGTAAAGGCTTCCCATAATTGAGTGGAACACCCACAAGTAAAGAAACGAAAGTAAATGGTTGCCTTGTATACGTTGAAAAGAAACTAAAATGTGACTAACTCTGCTTAGTATTGGCACCATTAACATGAAGTTATTTTGTCTGGAGGAGGGAAGGGTGGCTTGTTTGTTTTTTGAGAAAGAGTCTAATGCTTGTAGGCCTCTAACTCAAATCCTTCTGCCTCACTCTCCTCAGTACTGAGATTACAGATGTATGCCACCATGTCTGTCTCTGCTTTTTTCATAAAAATATGACATTTATTTTTGTGTATTCCCACTTGCATGTGTGTGAGGTCAGAAGACGACTTGCAGGAATTAGTGTTCTCCTTTCACCGAGTTCTGGAGACAAAAATCAGGTTGTCAGGCTTGGTGGCTCAGACCTTTACCCACTGAGCCTTCTCACTAGTCCTCTCACTGTAATTTTAGGTCAAAGGAATATATGGATTTAAAGTACTATCCCAAAGGAAAAATAATTCAAGACAACATACCATAGTTTATGAAACAAGATACATTCAAAAGGGTCTTTGTTTTTTGTTTTTTTTTAGTAAGATTCTCAACAGCACTCAGAAATAGTTGCACTGGAAATGCTATGAACTAGGGATTACAAAACCTTGGCTTGCATAAACCTACCACCATCTACTACCCATAACTTCTTGGTAAAGTAAAAATGGTTCCTCCTCTCTGTCTCATAAAGTCTGAATAGCTGGAATGACAAGTACTATGGAAATGAATAAAGGACTATACCCACTTGCTAGATATAGCTTAGGAGAGCAGAATTCAAACTTACTTTTTATTTATGAATAAAATGGTTTAGTTCACTATTACTCAGGAGGCTGAGACACAAAGAGTGTAAGTTGCAGACCAATGTGGCCATACAGAGAGACCCTGCCTCCAAAAGAGTTCCATTTCCTAAATAACCACGAGTTAAGGATTCTATAAATACTTACCTTTAGTTTTTTCTTTCAGGGATGATTTTAAAATATCTATAACAACCCAAAATACATACAAAACTAGTTCCTAGCTCCTAGGTTTACAAAGTCAGTCATGGTAATAACAGTACTTGGTAAGGGAAGAATAAGAACAAGAAAATGATGAACAGGGCAATGAAGGGGACAAAAACCACAGTCTTAGGAAAACTTTACATGTATACAGAGAGAGGAATACTGCTGCAACTAAATAAAGAGCCAAAGAAGTGCAAGCAGAGCCTTTATTTCCTTTGATGTGCTGTGGCTTTAGATTATGCTCAGAGTAAATAGTCTGGTGAGTTCTGCTCTACTAAAAAGTCTCTTGGTAAAGAATAGCATGGAAGAGTGACCTTGGATAAGCTACTGCACTATGAGTTTCACTTCTAGTAAAACCAAAAATTAACAGTATCTACTTTAGAAGGCTGCTAGGAGAAACACAGTCACATTTATGAAAAGATGTTAACACCGTACTAATAATTCTCAAGCTGGAGATAATCATTAGAGATTGTTATTAACATAGCAAAGAAGTGAGTAACAAAATGAAGAAACTAAGTATAAAAATTTAGGATAATCTGTCCATTTATTTCTTTTTTAAAATGGTGTTAAGTTGGTTGGGTTGCAAACCTGTCATCTGTACTCTCAGACTTAGGAGACTAAGACAGGAGGATTGGAAGTTCAAGGCCAGCCTGGGCTACTTCGATGATAATTAAATAGCACGTGCTATATGCTTTTAGCACATACACTGGAAACATCAACAATACTTACCGGTAGTATTAAATTTAAAATATGACTTGAATGAGGTAGCTGACATCATCAGTAAACAGCTGAATTATACAAATCTCTGTAGTAATCTTGAACAGAACAGAAAGAATTCTGGAGGGGCTAAAGAACTACTGAGTATTTGTCCAAGAAGAGCACTATTTCTAGCCCCATTTGTTAATGCACTCCATTCATTACAGATGTGAACAGACCAAAATGGCTAACTCAGCAAAGTCAAAACAGATCATAACTAGAAAGGTGACAAAGGAAGCTTTCCTGGGATGGGACTCCATTTAGTTTGCATTTATTGATGCTGGCAAAATAAAATCCAGCCTGGATTTTAAAGCTCCATTAGAAATATTATCCTGCAGATGTTAATATAATTATTCATAACATGCCCAGCTGACTTCCCATGGATAGTCCATCTGACTTAGGAACAGAGAACTTATGAATGAAGGAACACATGTCAAACATCCCTTGTTATTAAATCATGTCACATTCTTCCTAGTCCATGGTACTTATTAGAAGGCAGATCCCATAATCCTCTTCTGAGTCCCTTCTGCATTTAATTCAGTTCAGTCTTAAGTAGTTAGAGAAACTGTTTTCAGTGGCAACTAATAACTACTGACCTACAGTGACACTGCCCTACAATAGGCCTGTCAGCCCTGAAAAAGTTGTACCAAAGAAGCTGATTAGGACTTGAAGAGGCCTGTAGTAAGAATCAATAGCTGGTCTGTACTAATGCTGCGTTGCTGGCAGACATGATGAAAGTGGAACACCATTAGTTATGCCTCATTAAACTGCACAGTCCTGCTAAAAAGAAATTTGTTTAGCCTGACAAAAACCTAATACAATTTTAAGCTCTCTGTGTTGCATTTTTTTTAAGAGTACCTCAAAGCTTCAATAAAGTCCAAAAGAGCCAAGAAACATAAAAAACTATATATACACAAGCATTTTTAATTCAAAGTATTCATTTCATATTTCCTAAAAACAGTGCAGGAAAAATTGCTTGGGGTTGGGGGAAAGTGCTATTTCAAACCAGGTAGGTTTTAGTTTGTAAATAACCAGCACACTCCAGATGTTGATGCAGGAAGCATTTAAATCATGTCTGCTTTACCATTACCTGTCAAATCTCTGCTGCTGGAAAAGAGGAGGAGGCCCTCGCCAGGAATCTTGGGGCCGCATATCTGGAAAATAAATGGGAGGTGTTCAGAGAAGGCTTACTTGCTAAAGTATTGTCTATAACCTATCTACATAGTTTATAATTCAAACTCCTAAAAAAGAACTAATCACGTAAACCAAATAAACTAGAATCAAAACTAACCATGAATGTAAAAATAGCCAACAGAACCACCAAAGACTTTCGTTAATTATGTATTTGTTGCTAACAAGGTGGTTTTGGTAACCTTGGCCATAATCACATTGCTTATTACTTGTAATGTGTGGTTATGTAACACATAAACATAATTTTACATGTATACTTTAAATGCTATACAAAAAAAGAGAAGATCTGGGCCTTTTTCATGACAGTACACTGAACTAATAGTAGTAACTCTCATCAACCTCTGATCCCATTGCAAATCTGAACAGGCAACTTTATATACTTAGAAGAAACCAAATAGCGACTGCTCTCCTATATAAACCATGCATTACAAGGAAGGAAAGACCCATCAACTCCTGGCTAGACATGGCATTCACATTCAAAGAACTCAGAGGGGCAGTATCAACTAGCCACCACTCCTGGCTTCAGCCTTGCTGTTATCTGCCTTTAGCAGGGTCTGCTGTAACCTAATTAAAACAGCTGCATCCAGCTATTGTATAATGAGTTCACTGTGTGAGGACAGCACTCACTTCCAGACTCCCAAGAACGAGAACAGCACAGCTTACCCTATGTATTCAGGCTCTTATTTTAATGGAAACACAAACCAAAACTATGCTTTTCAAAATTACTTTATTAAAGGAAAGAAGAAATGAAAACTTATCCCTAGTTTAGAACAACAGAAAAAAATATATTAAAAAAAAAGAAGAATTATGCTTTTAAAAATGTCATAAAGCACAAATGGGCAAAGCAAAGTACATGGCAACTGATGACCGTAGCATGACACAGCTGGCCTCCTCTGCTCTGGGCTTTTTTCAACCTCCACAGGACTGAGAAGGCCAGTCTGAGGCAATTCTCTAGATGTGAACATACTACCTAAAGATTTATATCAACCAGCAGCCAACTCCTTTTTCAGAAAGGAAAGGAAGTTCTTCACCAGAAAGCCAAGTAGTCTCTCTAGCTGAATTGTATCCTGTTTAGTGCTTAAAAATGAAACTGACAGCCAAGCTGAGTCACAACACAAGGAAGGTTTTTCAAAGGTCATCATATATGAAATACAGCTCAAGGCCTCAGTAGAAATTCTGGAAGCTAATAGTTTCTCAATGGTCATCATATATGAAACACAGCTGAAGGCCTCAGTAGAAATCCTGGAAGCTAATTACCATGAAGTTTACAGATATGGAGAAGAAAGTTGCCTATTGGGCCCAGAGTGAATCACTATCACAGACTATAAATTGCCAGAAAATTTTGTATTTTATCTTATTGTTTTGAGACAGGGTCTCACGTATCTCAGGGTAGTTTTAAACTCTCTATATCCCAGGATAACCTTGAACTTCTGGTCCTGGTACCTCTACTTTTTGAGTGCTGGGGAGGTGAGCACCACTACCTTGTCTGGTACACATGTGCTGGGAGACGGAACCCATGGCTTTGTGCTAGAAAAGCACTCCACTAACTTAGCTAAACCTTAGCCCCCCAAAAAACAAGGTAAAACCTGGAAATTCTTATAAGAACAGCAATTATTTCATTTGTGTGACTTCCTTAGATGGAAAACTAAACAGTTAATTTTCAATGAGTTGTAATTTATGAGAAGGCATTCTACTGAAAGTAAACATCTGCATTTGTACTTTTTCCTGATTACTTTTTTAAACTTGAAGACCAATGACCAATTCAGATGGTATACAAAAATTAGCAAGAATCAGTTAAAATGTTTAAAAACTATCATATTTTAATGTCTTTACATATACAAAACTAGGTAACTGTCTGACAAAAGTAAATAAAGCCAAACCAGCAGAATGAATCTGATTCAGACCCTGAGTAGCACTACTTTGCATGCCTCTGCACTGCACCTCGGAAACATGCCTCTGTTTATCATTAAGACTTAACTTTGTAAGTACGGTTCCATGGTGTCCCCTGATAACCACAGAATACTATGGGACTTAGAAAAAGTTTTCACACAAAATCTGATTTATTATAGATCAAATGAAGACAATGAAACTGATACATGTACATTAAAATAAACTTCCCAGAGCACTTTATTCTGAAAATGAAGGGGAAAAATTGTTGATTTTCTCCTAGAAAGTGCACAATTGGAAACTAAGGCCATCACCATCAATACACACACATTCAATTCAAACCTGCTGCACATTAAATAAGAAAACATTTTCAGGAACTGGAATTTACTACACAAGCATCAAGCACTTTCTAACAGTCTACCTTTAATTCTGTTTTTAATTCTCACTTTCAGAACAGCTCCCTTTTATACATAATCTCAGTATTAGCAAATATATGGTGTTTTGCTAAAACGTGTGCAAATATAAAATTTTAAATTTTTCTGTTACATAATTATTAAGCATCATTTGTTTCTAATCAAAAACAAAATTTAAAAAGACAAAAAAAATTTTCAGAGCTACCTTTAAACAGTTTCTTTTTCATGTAGCTCTAAGTAATACACATAGCCCTTAAGTATTCACAAAGCAGAAATATTTCCTAGTTGGTAAGTAATGAAGTAGAGAGTAAAACAAACTTATTACCATTCATTTGTATGGCTCTAACAGAAGATCTTTTTGAGTGGGAGGGAAAAAACCTATGAGACAATGGATTGCACTTCAGAAGGAACAAACGCAAGGGGAAATAAAAAGACAGCTAATTTTTTTTTTCCTTTGGTCTTTAAAAACATATCCCTTTCCTAGAGCTCTAAGGCCACATCAACCAAGCTTTGCCATTAGCTTCTCAAGTGACAATTTACTTAATCGTCGTGGCAATCACAGAAAAGATTCCATGTTTACTGACTGCAGTAATCACAAATTACATTCCAAACTCAGCTAATTGACAAGTTTACTGACCAAAATGAAGAGAAGTCATACATCAGGTTCTTTGGAATGAAGAAACTGAATGCTTTATTCATACTGAGTACTCACGGCTACACTTGACTCCAACAAGTTATCAATAAACAAACAATTACAGACCCAAACTGTTGTATTAAAGGCAAACTAAAAACCAACAGTAAGAAACACCAATGGCCAACAGTTGGTAGAAGTGGCAGTCTGACCAAATGGTTCATCTTCAGTGTATTTTATACCATATTACAGAAAATATTATAGCACTAAAAACATTTTTTATAAGTGGTTTACTTTTCATTTTTACAAAACTAAAAGTTTCTGACCAAATCTTCAAATTTAAAATTTCTTCTATAGGTTTTATCAAGTTAAGTCAAGTACTACAGATCTAGGGCAGCTTCCCAAAGAGGAATGTTGTCTTAGTTAGGGTGTCTATTGCTGCAAAGAGACACCATGACCATGGCAATTCTTATAAAGGAAACATGTAATAGGAGCTGGCTTACATTTTCAGAGATTTAGTCCATCATCATCATCATGGTGCTACCTGGTACCAGAGCTGAGACTTCCTACAATTTGATAGGCAGGCAATAGGAAGTGATCTGAAACACTGGGCTCGGCTTGAGCATATATGAGACATCAAAGATGGCCCCCACACTGACACACTTCTTCCAACAAGGCCATTCCTACTCCAACAAAGCCACATCTCCTAATAGTGCCACTCCTTTTGAGGGCCATTTTGGATTGTGTTGTTTTTGGTTTTGGGTTTTTTTTTTTTTTTTTTTTTTTTTTTGGAGGGGGGGGTTGGTGTTTTGAGACAGGGTCTCCTTCTGTGGCCCAGTCTGGCCTCAAATTTGTGGAAATTTATGGAATCCTCCTTCCTACCTTAGCCTCCCAAATGCTGTTGGAACTAGAGATGTGTTCTACTATGCCCAGTGCAACTGATTTTTGGTAGTCACAATTAGGCCTTCATTTTGGTTGTGTGTGTGTTTTCAAAGATTTATTTATTTTTATTTATTTATAATAGATGTTTCCTTGCACATGTCTGTCTACCATGTTCATGCAGAATGTCAGATCCCCTAGAACTGGGGTTACTGATGGCTGTGAGCCACCACGGGGATGTGGGGACTTGAACCTGGGTCCTCTGGAAGAAAAGCCACTTTCTTAATCACTGAGTCATCTTTCCAGCCCCTGATGTATATTTTTTAAAAAGATGCATCCAAACAAAATTCCTTTATTGGACCAGGTAGTGGTGGTGCAAGTCTTTAATCCCAGCACTTGGGAGACAGAGGCAGGCAGATATCTGTGAGTTTAAGGTCAGTCTGGTCTACAAAGCAGAGGGCTACACAGATAAACCTTGCCTCAAAAATAAAAGAAAAAAAGAAAGAAAACAAAAATCTTTTAAGTTATCTTTCCTTAGGCATTTCATTAACAAGGGATGGAAGGAACTGCTTAATGGTGAGCACATGTTTTTCCCTTTGCTGCTCTAACCTCTTTAGAGCTGTGGAAGTATATATAATACAACACTAATAATTCCTTACAGCTATTGTCTTGAGAAACAGTAGCTGAATTAAGATTATACTAGCTCTAGAATTTCTACATCTCAATTCTTTTTCTTATGTAGTACAATTACTGACAGGAATAAGTGGCTAAGAACCACAGGAAAAAGAGAACTGAAAGGAATGTGTCAATACAGAGCTGGCTTTGAAAATGATCTGGACATGCTCTCACTACTTCCTAGTAAAATCTCAGTAGAGATTTCTTTCAAACTGGTTAGACTCCTCCATTGCACATGGTAGGCATAAATAACAAAGATAAGGACACTTCTAACATCTGCTAGATATTAGAAGCAAAGTAGCTATTCAGCTTTGCACTATATAGATTCCCATGGACTCACTAACTCTGCACCCCTCTGTACTAAAAAAAGAAAGAACAAGAATGAGGCACTGGAGAGACAGCAGTAGTTCAGCTCCAGGGAATCTGATGCCCTCTCTGGCCTCAGCAGCACCTGCATACATGTGCCATACAAACACCTGTGGCATGCTTACAAACACACAGACACATAATAAATACCACAAGAGTAACAGAACTGTGCTGTTTTTCTGGGATTTTGTTTTTTACTTTTTTTTTTTTTTTTAATGGAGAGTGCTGGATGTCTCTACAATTTTGTTCAAATGACTGCAGAACCTGGAAAAGCTGTTGCTGCTATTGATGCATAAAATACTGCCATTGGTCTTTTTATATAAATAAATAAAACACACACACACACACACACACACACACACACATATAATTTGAATTTTTGGAAAATTTAGCTGTGCTGTCAACTTTGGAAAAAAGTATCCCAGTTTACCATGTTCAGTTGGCATTGTACAAAAATTAACAGCCATATTGTTCTAGAAATGTTGAACTTAATTTTTTTCCATTTGTACAGGGGTAACTCACTGTATTAAATATGTAAGGTCTTGTCTACGTGGGTTTGATTGCAAAAACTAATAAAGTATTCTCTAAATAAAAAAAACAGTTTTAGGCTTGCAAAAACACTTGGAAATGCTCTGTGTGCTTTTTAGATTAGAAAGCAAAGAGAAAAAATAAATAAATAAATAAATAAATAAATCTTTTAAAAAAAGTGTTGAGGTACAGTTTCCCTGATAGTGAGTTATGACATTGTATTCAATTTCAGTAAGTCATACAACACAGCAAAGCCACAGAATCAGACAGTATACCTGATAACAAGTGGGCCCTGAGAGAATGAGACCTTCAGAACTCATTTCTTCTTAGGTACTATATCCAGAAAATCTGTGCTTCAAGTTAGAAAATGGTTTGTAAATCCACTGGCATTAAAACCGTGATAAGCACAGAGCATGGACACGCCCTAACAATCACCAGCTTTACTAGGCACTCCCATGACTACCTAGCATACCCACCTAAAGCAATGCCTGGCACTATGGTTTATAGTACTGAGATACAATTTGGTTTAAGTCCGGTGTGGTGATTAAGTCTGTCATCCCAGCACTCATAAGGCTAATGCATTAGAATTTCTGTAAGACTGAGACCAGCCAGGGTTACATACTAGCAAATAAAACCTTATCTAAAAAAACAACAAATAGTAACAACAAAACAGTGGAGATGGGAGGGAGGGAAGGAGGAAGTGAGGGAGGGTTCTCTGCACTAGAGCAGCACTCATTTTATTCTACTTGGTAGCAGAGATCAAACACAGGAACCTGACAAGCAAGACAAGGATCTCCTGTTGAGCTACATCCCCTGATCCCATCTTTCTCTTGAAATTTAATTTTTGTAATATTAAACATTAAAAAGAATATATTTTAAGTGCTATTATACCTCCAACTTACAAATACTAGCCTCTTGTCAAAGCCAAACTGTTGCCCCCCCCCCACACACTGTAACCTTGCCTGGTTTTCAAGTAAGGCAACCAGACAAACAGGAATGGAAAGTAAAGGCTTTATGAAGATAGTTTAGAGAAGAAGGCACCTAATCTGTATTTTCATGGTAAAGGGGCACAGCCATGGAGCTCAAAATGGGAATAAAATTAAATTCGGTGGGAAACCTAAGCATTCAACTGTTTTCTATCAATACTATGGCCATCAAAATACCATATTCTTTTGTAATTCTAAAATTCTAACATTTCTAGCATTCTAAACTGTCTCTAACACAAGTTTTGAGACGTGAAAGAAAGGCCATGTTTCTCTCAGATGAGAGATATTACCACCTAAAGCAATGCCTGGCACTTCATGTTAGGTAGAACCAACATATAATTTGGGCCAAAACAGGAATACTTTTGTCCTTTAGCATCTAAATGATCACTATTAAAATTCTTCAAATATTTGTATTAAAAGATAAATACCCATCAACTACATATACCTCTTTCTGGGGAGTTAACTCAGAAATAGGTTTATGAATAAAGAAAGAATTTTAGTTTACCTTAACTAGCTAAAAGTAAGAAAAAGTAGTTGAAAGCTTTTTCATAAAATGTTCTCTTACAACTCTTCTGGCAATGTTTAATTCTATTTCTCCATCAAAGCAACCAATCTTTTTGGCAATGAGGATGAAAGCCAGCCATTGCGGTCATATTTCATTTGGAATATAAAATAACCAGTCAGTAAAAACTTACTTGACATAAGTTTTGGAATCTGAGTTTGCCCTCTCAACAGTGGCCTGTATAAGCTCCCCTGGTAAGTTGCAGGTGGTGGTGCAGTGTTGCTGTAAACACCAGTCCCCGAGCCTCTTGGCATAACATGGCTGTAAAAGAAACCCTCATGTAAGAAAAAATATCAAGAGCTATATACAAAGATATGTTAACACATTAAGGTTAAGAAATCAACACTAGTCGTCACCTCTTTATTTTAGACCTGATTAATATAAAAATAAGGTTCACAATTAATGTTCAGAACTGTACACAATGGTAATAGTGATAGCAAATGTTTACTTACCATATCAAGATAGTCATAATAACCCTGTAAGTATCTAATTACTTATTCAAAAGTCACTTTTCTGTATATGCTGTATATGTAAGCTTTTTTCTTCAAGGATCTGTCCTGTTGCTGTCACTACCAATTACTATTCTATACTTTGCTATTTTAATTTAACAAATCAAACAATGCCCTGTATCTTTTTGTACTCTTAACTATAGTATGCAATCTATAGACTATTTCACTAAGTTACTAAACTTTCCTCTCATTTAGTGGCAGTATTATAAGTTTTGATGAAAAATACATATTTAAGTGTACAGTTATGCTCCTTTAACACTATTATCTCTAGTAAGTTCCAAGTAATAAGAATTTAGATAAAATATTGTCTTTGAAACTAGAAGTACTTCAATGTTGCTTTTTTTTTTTTTTTTTTTTTTTTTTTTTTTTTTTTTTTTTCTTTTTTTTTTTTTTTTTTCAAGCCAGGGTTTCTCTGTGGCATTGGAGGCTGTCCTGGAACTAGCTCTTGTAGACCAGGCTGGTCCCGAACTCACAGAGATCCACCTGCCTCTGACTCCCGAGTGCTGGGATTAAAGATGCGCACCACCAATGCCTGGCTTCATTGTTGCTTTCTAAAAGACTAAGAATGATGTAAAACTGTTATTTAATCTATTCTAAAGTTGTTTCTTTTATTATCAAAGATGAAGAGTTTCCAAACAGTGACATCAGCTGACATTTACAGTGGTGAAAGCTATCACCACTATAAGATAGGCACAATTACTGTCAACTTTACATGTTAGGAAACTTTTATAAATATAGGAAGAAACTTCAAAAATGAGACTGAGTTTTACACTTAACCTCTAAGCCACTATTTTTCTTTAGATGTCTCACTAATATCGAAAATAACTGTTTATGAGTTATAATTTTAATTCCTGAACTATGAGTTATTAACATTTCCTCCAACAAGTTGCTTTTTCTGAGCTAGGATCTCACTTTGTAGCCCAAGTTGGCTTCCAACTTGTGATCTTGCCTTAGCCACCCCAGACTATCTTCGTTTTGTTTTGTTTTAATTTTTATCGAGACAAGGTGTCTCTGTTTAGCTTTGGCTGTCCTGGAACTCACTTTGTAGACCAGGCTGATCTCTAACTTACAGAAATCCACCTGTCTCTGCTTCCCAAGTGCTGGGATTAAAGGCGTGCACCTCCACATGACCATCATCATTCTTTTTATCCTAACCTTAACTATCTTTATTTCAAAGCCCTCTAAATATAGTTTCTTCTAACACTAGGATAAAGAATCCAACAGTAAATAAGAGTGAAAGATAAAAACCATAAATTTATACAGAAAATACAGATGGTCAAATAAACACTATCTTAGCTGGCATGAAAATACCAATTCAAACAACAAGACACCACCTTTCAAGCAGAGGAAAACAAAAATTTAAGAGCCTGGTGTCTTTGTGTTCAAATATATTAGCTAATACTTCATAAAGATACTGTTGTAGTGATGCACGACAAACTCAAACCTGACATTAAAGACAATATTTCATTCCTTTCTCTGTTAGAAAACTGGAAAAACCTATTAAGAGAACAGACTCTTCGTTAACAAAGAAATACATAAAGAAATATAGAAGCAAACATCTAAAGTGAAGAAAAGTTAATCCCAGCAATCTGAAGGCAGAGGCAGGTGGATCTTTCTGAGTTTGAGGCCAGCTTGGTCTACATAGTGAGTTCCAGACCAGAAATCCTGTCACAAGAAAAAAAAAAAAAGGTGTGTGGGGGGGGAGGATAAATTATCAAAATCACTAATATAGATACAAAGTTACTTGTACTATATTATCTCTAAAATATCTGTGGCAGAAATACTGACTTATTTATGGAATAACTCAGAAAAAATACACATAATATATAAATAGGAATCATAAAACTCACCCTAAAGTTCTAAAGGCTGCCTGGTCCAGGTGAACAGGCCGCCGGTCCCGATTAAAGCCAAGCTGGGGTTTCCACTGCCTCCCATTGCTGGATTTTTCCCAATCACCAGGTTTCAGAACTGCTGCTGGCTTCCTAACCATTTAAAAATAACACTATTTAGCATACAGGGATGGATGCTGTCACAAAGCACACGTCCAGGGGTTAGTTTACTATTGTTACCTTGCTCCTGGAAGCATTACAGCTTTAAAAACATAATCTTCAGCAAATTGTGGATCTTTAAAATTAATACTGAAAGAGAACAAGGAAAATGTTAATGATTTGATTGTGTCATTGGTTTTAATTATTAACTAAACAAAGATACTTTTGATGTCTAAACAGAGTAACTAAAATTCAAAACTGTCCAAATTACTATCTTAGACAATAAATTTGTCAAATGGTTAAATATCTTTCTTACCAAACTACCTCTGATCTCTAATACATTGTTCTCAGGTAACTCTCTCTATAGAAAGATCCAGATTATAGATAACTGTAAATGATCACAGAAAAAACAACATATCCCAACTCTTGAGAATTTCCAGTACAATACTGGAAAAGCTGGGGAAGTTCATAACAAAAATCAAAAAATAAAATGTGTATACAAATAGCTAAGCAACTGTGCTAGCTAGCTTTACGCCAACTTTATACAAGCTAGTCATCTGAGAGAAGGGAACTTCAATTAAGAAAATTTCTCAATAAGATCAGGATGTAGACAAGCCTGTTAAGTCACTTTCTTAATTAGTGATTGATGGAGATAGCTGGTTCCAGCCATTGTGGGTGGTGTCACCATTGAGCTGGTGGTCCTGGCTTCTACAAGAAAGCAGGCTGAGTAAGCCATGGGGAGCAAGCCAGAAAGCAGCATCCCTCCATGACCTCTTCATCAGCTCCTGCCTCCAGGTTCCTGTCCAGTTTGAGTTCCTGTCCTAACTTCCTTTGATGATGAACAATGATATGGAAGTGTAATCTAAATAAATCCTTTCCTCTCTCAATTGCTTTTATCATCTTGTTTGATCGAAGCAATAGAAACCCAAACTAAGGCAGCATCTTATGGAAGGTAATATACATTAAAGCTGAATCACACACCCTGCTTTAATAAAGTCTTGCTTAACACTTAAATATATACTGAGTAGTTCAATCAAATTCCCTTTTGGGGGGTGGCAGGTGTAATATATATCTAGCCCCCAAAATGTTAGGTGTATGTCCGAGTCTTCCTTCTGACTCAGGAATAGCCATTCTAGGAGTTTAGTTATACATCAGGTTTATAATCAAGAAAGTTTATGGCACCCTTATTCACCATGTTTTAAGTTATAATCTGAATGTATGAATAATACTACAACTTACTAAAGAAACCAAGGTTCATCCAAAAAATGAAATCCTCAGGAGACAGGTAAAAAAATTAGTAAAACAAAACAAAACAAAAAAAACAGACATGTATAAAGTGCATATACAATAGACCAAACATATATTTCAATAATTATTTGTAATTTTCTTTGTGTAATCATTGTCCCTTTGTCAAACCTATCTTCTTAATATTTTCAAAATTACTCGTAATTACAATTAATTGTTATAATCAGTTAAACCAGGCAGTGGTGGCACACGCCTTTAATCCCAAAACATGGGAGGCAGAGGCAGATAGATCTCTGTGAGTTTGAAGCCAGTCTAGTCTACAAAGTGAGTTCCAGGACAGCCAGAGCTGTTACACAAAGAAACCTTGTCTCAAAAAATAATTTTTTTAACTGAAATGATTTTAATCAGTGACATTTTGAGGCAGTTAATTATTTTCTTTCTTGTTCAATATCACTACTTTTACAACTAGGTTCCATGTGTAATACAGAAAAATTTACTATAGTGAGACTTAACTGTATATTTTAAGTACACAAATCACATTTCAAATAAAAAAATACCATGAGCACAAGGAACCACTGAACAATATTTCATTTAGTCAGTTGGTTCATCAAAGATCTCACTTTTTATTTGCAACAACTATCTTTATCCCTAGTGTTCCTTGATGGGCATGGTGGCAGAAAGAGGGCAAAACTGGAACAGAAATGAAATGTTTCAGAGTATTATAATGAACACAGAAATTATGTATTTGGGGTCATTGGGGCCTTGCAAATACCAAGAGAGAAACCTGCTCTATATGCTTTCAAGCACTGTCTCAATAGCAGCTATCTTGTTTCATTCAGTAGGTTTCCAATCTGATAGGTTGCCCATTACACACAAATCAGGGTGGCAGTCTGCACACAGACTGATCAGGCTTCAAGCTTGTCTCCCTTCTAAAATCAGAAATAAAGATGATTTCATTGTTTTTGAGACAGAGTTTCTCTACCATAGTTGTTTTATAAGTAAGAGAGCAAGCCATGCAGTAAGATGCCATAGAAAAGATGCCAAATTAAAGCTGGGTGCACTTGCCTTCCATCAACAAAGGTAATGTGCATGAATGGGGGAGAGTGACAAGGGAAGTCTTTAATCTGGAAACTAAGGAAAACACCCAAGGGACTATATCTGAGGTACAGTGAGACTAGTTATGGAATGGCAGAAAAGGTATTGCTAAAATCTATAAACACCTGAAGAATTAAAACCATCTTTCTCAAACTATTCCAAAAAACTGAAAAAAAGAGACTGTTCCAAACTCATTCTATGAGGCTAGCATTACTCAGATACCAGACCACACAAAGAGCAGAATAACCAAAAAAAAAAAAAAAAAAAAAAAAAAAAAAAAAAAAAAAAACATAGACCAGTATTTCTGATGAACATGTATGTAAAGATTGCCAACAAAATCCTGTCAAACCAAATCTGACAGCACATCAAACACCATAATTAAGTAGAATTTATCACAGAGATGCAAGGGGACTTTCACATGTCAGTAAAAGTAGTGCCTTTGGTATGGTTTGAATATGTTTGAATATGGAATGCCCCCCCCCACACACAAACTCATGATTTGAATGTTAGTCACTGACAGTAATACCATTTGTGATGGTTGCAGAAACCAGGAGGTAGCCTTTCTGGAAGAAGTAAGCCAGTGGGGAGCAGGTCCTTGTGAGTATCAGGTCACATTCTGTTTCTTGGTTAGTCATAATGTAAAAACAACTCTCCTCTGCTACACATTTCCATCATTATAGTGTTCTGCCCACGTATGTGAGTCCAAACAACTATGGCCCAAACCATTTAAAGCTGTACACCCAAATAACTGATTCTCTCATAAGCTGTTTCAGGGACCCTGTCAAGCAATGAGAAAAGTAACTAAAGCACCATTACTTTAATGTAATGGAAGTGGATGTGTAGCAGTCTTGCAATGAACTTGTAATGGTGGCCATACCACCTTGGGCAGAAAGAGGGAAGCTTGAGGCATGACTTTCCTTTCTGCTTTCTTTCTGGTGGGTCAGCTGATCTAGTAGGAAGGGCAGAGAAATTCTCCTGCGGTTCTTTGTATTTTTCTGTTTAACTATTCCCCAATAAACACCCATTTACCATTTATCTTGGGTCTAGTGAAATAACTACATCCTTACCTTCATGGATGTAATGTAATTAAAGTAGAAGTAATGAAATTAAAGTGGAAGAAAAAACGGTATAATCATTTTAATGAAAGTACCCAATAAAATCCAACATTTTTTTTTCCCCGAGACATGGTGTCTCTGTGTGACAGCTTTGGCTGTCCTAGGACTCACTTTGTAGATCAAGCTGACCTCAAACTTGAACTCACAGAGATCTACCCGCCTCTGCCTCCTGAGGGCTGGGATTAAAAATGTGCACCACCACAGTCTGGCAAAATCCAACATTCTTTCATGATAAAAACCTTCAATAAGTTAGGCAAAAAAGAAAAATGTGTCAATATAACCAAGGCTACATATTAAACAGCATAACCAACTTTTAAACTTTTATGGGAAAAGGTTGAAATTGTTCCCTCTGATATATGGAACAATACAAGGGTCCTATGTTCACCACTCCTATCTAACATAATTTTGCCAGGGTAATTAGGTAAGGCAAAGAGATAAAGGACATCCAAAGTGGAACAAAGAACAAACGAACCAGCCAACTTAACTGTTGTCAGATTATATGCTCTGACATACAGAATGCCCTGAAGACCATCAAAACCCAAAGGAATTGATAAATTTAATAAAGTTACAGATATAAAAGTCAACACACACACATATACACACTTCATCCCATTAATAGCAAACTGGTTAAAAAGCAAGATTTTAAAAAGCAGTCACATGGGGCTAAAGAAATGGCTCAGCAATTAAAGGCACTTGCTGCTCTTGCAAAGGACCTGCACCCACATACACCAGGCAGCTCACAACCACTTGTAACTTTAGTTCCAGGGGCTCCAATATTGGCTTCTAACATCCACAGGTACTTGCACAAACATGGAGCACATAAAAACATTCAGGCACACACACATAAACAACACTTTTTTTTTAGAGGCCTCTCATTCCCATATTCAACATTTTAAAGAAAGAAAAAAATAGGAACAAATTAAACTAAGAAGGTAAATGATATCTTCTATGAAAATTATATGATAGTGACCAAAAAAATTCATGTGAGGATCCACAAAAAGCTAGAAAGGTGCCTGGGCTCAAGAACTGGAACCATTAGAAGGGCAATGTGGTGCAGGCCTTTAACCCCAGCACTTGGGAGGCAGAGGCAGATGGACCACTGAGTTAAAGGCCAGCCTGGTTTACAGAGTGAGTTAGTTCCAGGATAGCCAGGGCTACACGGAGAAACCATGAATGAATGAATGAATGAATGAATGAATGAATGAATGAATGAGGTTGGTTGTGGTTTTGGGTTTTTTTTTGTTTTGTTTTGTTCTTTTGTGTGTGTGTTTCGAGACAGAGTCTTTTATGTAATAGCCCTGGCTGTCTTGCAACTTGCTCTGTAGACCAGGCTGGCTTTGAACACATAGAGATCTACCTCCCTCTCCCTCCCAAGTGCTACAATTAAAGGCATGGGCCACCACTACCCAAAGAGAGATAATTTTAAATGGAAAAGGACATGGTCTTCTTCCCAAAACCAAAGAAAAACTCAGTTTAATTGAAGTAGTAGCCCTTTCTCATTAGCGATCTGGGAGAACTGCAAACCCTACAAAAATGATCTGAGCACTCACTAAATTTATACAAGGAAGACACAAAGCTAGTACTGTTCCATAGTTGCAAACAACAAATGCCTTAAATCCTCAAAAGCCTCATTCTCATGTAGAGAAAGCACAGACAGTTTAGGGAAGAGCCTTCAATGGGTATGTTCAAGTTCAG